CCATGGCGTGTGGCAGTGTGTACGCAGCGGAGACCCAGCTTGGCCGTGACCTTTCCGCTCTCGAACTGACCCGGCCTGACCTCGCAACGGAGAGGTCGCGCCAGACGAGAGAGAACCCGTCGATCAGTAGAAGCACTTCGTATATGTAAGTGAGATGTGTTTTGTTGATTTGCACTGCAGTTGCGGGGTCAGATTTGGAACCAGTGGCAGGGGTATTTTGGTATTAAGAGATGGTGTTGCCATAACTCAAGGCAGGCCGAATTTGTTTGTTCTTGTTCGTGTTCTTTCTTATTTCTTCTTTTACTACTGCTTCTTCTTCTTCTTCTTTTTCTTTATTTTCTTCTTCGTCTCTCCTCTTGTGTGGGCTAATGTCGGGAAATTTGTGTTGTAAACTCTTAAGCAGAATTTTATATGTAAACGAAGTACTTATAGTTTTCGACGTTTGATATATTATGTGGAGGTTTCAGGTAGAATTGCAAAATGTAATAAAACATGTAATTTTGTGTTAAAAAAAAACAACATACAGTTTATAAGACAGTGTGCTCAAGGTTAACCATGAATCTCTTCAAATGAAATACTTGATTAGCATATTCTAGCAAAATAAGATGACACGAGACTCCGAAACCACAAACTCGATAGTGCTCCGTCCTCTTACCCGCGGTCCGCATACACAATACCCGGAAACCCATTGCAGGAAATTATTCATAAAACAGTCAGCAACGAACCCCAGTGCACTCTGCAATGCGCTAGACCAATTCCTGTTTTCGAACCAAATACATTTTATCTATAACCAACTTATGATTGATAAAAAACATTATAAAATGACGGCGAGAAGGCCTAATGGAGGTTTTCGTTTTCAACAACACGTTTTGGAAAGGCGAAGTCGTTTTTTTAAGTTAAAATCTGGCTTTTGGTGGACGTGATACTGACTTAAGTGTGACTCCATTGTTTTGGAATGTTCGTCTGTTTTTTTCTTTCTTCTCATCTCCGTCCGTTTATCTCTTTCGTTTTGGTCTCCGATTGGTATCTTCTATGCGTCTTTGTCGTTGCGCTTATCGTTACTCAGTTTAGAAAGTGTTGGATTTATAATGTCTTTTTTTTCCTTCTTCACATTCTCGTTTATCAAATGATACCGTTCATCCTTGTCCTCCAAGCCCAGTCTGTATCCTTTGGTCTTCTTTAGTCAGACTAAGAGTTATTATTTATCATTCATTTATTGTTTATTATTTTTATTTGCTATGTTTATTCATTTATTTATGATTTCTTTATCTTTATTTGTGATAATTTTTTCAGTTTGTTTTTATACATTTATGTTCATTGTTTATTATTAATGTTATTATTATTACAGTTATTAGTTTTATTTATTTATCATTTTAAGTCATTGTATATTGTTTATATGTGTTGAGAGATTGCAGGCTTCATTCACTTTAAGATGAAAAAGTGAATGTCTTTTCCATGATAAAATGTCTATATATATATCTTAAAAAGACATTAAGTTCCCTTAAATTATTAAATATTTTTTAAAGAATCATATGAAAATATAATAAGTATGTTTGTGAGACAGTTTAACCAATACTATATATGTTTTTGCCATAGGAGTTATTTAGATGTTGAGAAATAACAAAGAAAGGGATGTTGCACGATGCAGTACTTGATGTATGATGTTGTCCTGGTATTTTGAGTTACTGAAATTGATTTTTATTTCAGTATGACTGTAATGATGATGATGATATTATTGGTGATAATGATAATAACAATGATAATGGTGATGAAGATGATAAAGATAATAATAGTAATAATAATGATAATAATAATAATAATAATAATAATAATAATAATAATAATAATAAGGATAATAATTATATTAACAATAATACTGATAATAGCAATGATTCGAACTAGTAGTTGTATTATTATACATGTTATTGTTATTATTGGTAATATTGTCTTTTTTGCTACTGCTATTATCATCTGTACCACTATAACCGCCTTCACTCAAAAGGTAATTTCAATATTTCGTATATTTCTTCTTTTATTTTAATTTCATTTCCTTATATATATATATATATATATATATATATATATATATATATATATATATATATATATATATATATATATATATATATATCCGTTAAGTCACGTGTCTCGAATTTTAAATTTATTATTATTATTGTTATTATTATTACTCAGCGAAATTTCTTGTACGTCATTTTACGTTCTAATGGTGGCTGTATTTATTTTTCATTTGATTTTTTTTTTCCTTTTTTTTCTGTTTCTTCTTTTTAGACGAAATGCCGTTTTCTCCAGATGGCACAAAGAAAACGGATTTGACGGGAATCACGTAATTTTTAGGAGGGAAATGTGATTCTCTTACCATCGCGTTATTTCATCTTTTGTTTCCTTTCTCTGTATTTTTCTTCTTCCTCTTTCTCCTTTTCGCTTCATTTGAGAACAAATGGTGGCGTTTTTGTTGTTGTGATTGTTACTATTCTTTTTATTAATGAAATGAACAGGACAAGACTATCGGGACCATTCCGAATTTTATTATCATCACCTTCATCATCCTCTGTCCCAGTCATTTCATCTCTATTATTATTTGCAACATCATCATTATCACCATATATTTCTACTATCACCATCGTCGTCACCAGATGTAATATTTTTTCTGACGAGTATCGATAAAATTTAAAAAAACCGTTTGCCCGCCATTTCAGGAGCAGCGGATCCGTCCACGAGGCGATCAGATTTCTTCAAGCGGAGCACGAGACGGTGTTGAGTGGCCTTCACCAGCAGATCCAACTCCTTCAGCAGCGGTGTGATGGTTAGTCTTTTCTTGGTGTGCAGTTCAGTGTAGTTGGGGAGTTGTTTTGAGTTTGTATTATATATATGTATGTGTGAATATGTGTATAAAATGGGCGGCTAGGGGGAGGTGGGCCTTGCCAGCCCTCCTCCCCCCAGAGAACTGACTGGCAGTGCCTGTAATAAATGGATATGCTGGGGGGAGGGGTGCTGTTCCTCCCACCCAGCAAGTGAGGCGTCCACCCAGAGCAACCACCCAAGGCTTAACCTCAGGCGAGATATCCTGGTAGACACTAGGAACATTGTGGCAGGATGAGTGCTTACCTCTGCCATCGGGGTAACTGGAGCGGTTGGGAGGTGGCTGCCATCTCCAACCGACCTCAACCCTTGGTAGTTGAAGTAACACCAGTTGATGAACCTCTTATGGCACTGAGACTGAGACATGTCTCTTATTGCTGTGTACACTCCTAACTATGTTTGCAAACTCATTGTCCCCGGTGAGATATTCACATTGTTCTGAGTGATTTCAAAGGGATATCAAGTCGTGATCGGCTATGAGATGTCTGGCTCGAGAGCTGATCCCAGCAGCAAGAACAACCTCCCAGAGATTAAGGATTTTTAGCTCCTGGTATCAGTGGTTAAACCCGCATCGCTGGACATGGAATAGCAATACAGGTACTGTGGCCAAGAAGATTGACCACAATCCTGTCAGCACTCACTGGAGGATCCTTCAGAATTGCAGGGTTTACCGCAGTGCCCAGTTCTGTGGCACTGACCATAGGCTGTTAGTGGCTAACCTACTGGTCCACTTCAAAACTCCTTGTCCCTCCGGTGGCAACTCTAGGACAATCTTGGACAGACTGAGGAAGGAGATGTGTGCTCGTGGGTTCACCACAGCAATCTCTGATCGATTCACAAAACTTGAAAACTTAACAGACCCAGTTGCTTTGTGGGAGTCCTTCAAGAGTGAAACACTCACAGCAGCGCCTTGCCCTGAGGGCAAGGCAGAATTTCATCTCCCTAGAGACACTGGAGGCCACTAAAGCATGCTGCATGGCTCAGCTATATGGCGATCAGGACCTGTGTTGCTCTTTGGTGAGTAGGGCTCGGACATTGCTGAGAAAGGACAAGGAACAGTTCATCAAGAATCTTGCTGAAGGCCATTTCTTGGTAAACGACCTTCGCGTTTCCTACCAAGTCCTGAGAAAATTGAACTCTAAGTCCTCCTTGCAGATCACTGCAATCCGCTCAGTGGATGGATAGATAATTTCAGATCATGTCGGGGTTCGTCAACATTGGGCTGAGTATTTTGAGCAGCTGTACCAGGTAGACAGTTAGTTACAGGGTCAAATCCCAATCAATTTTAAGTTAAGATAATGGTAAATTAGTAAACAATTTAGTCTTGAGCAACATCTAAATTTAGTGGGTAATACATTTTCATCTTTTGTTTTTTTCTTTTTCGTCCTTAAATACAGTTAAAAGATTAACAAAGATACAGAATAGAAATATAAGTAAAAAGCAAATACATAAATACGTAATAAATGCGAACAAATGAGTGATTAGATATTGACTTTAATTACTTATCTCTAGTAAATACATCGAAGAAAAGCTAAATACGTCGGGGAGAGCTTTTACACCCAGAAACTGGCTAGCACTATACTGTATAGCTATCAGCCATAATGGATTAGTCTGTCCCAGTTCGCGGGGTTCCCCATTTTGTATGTACATATATAGTGTACGTGTGTTTACCGTATCTTAGAGGATCGTCATTGACCTTGTCGTTAAGAGAATGGTCACAGATAAATAATTCTTTGAGTTCATCATTTTTATTGTATTTTTTCGTGGTGTTTTGCGCAGTGACTCACGAGCTCCTTTGCTGTTGTTTCGTGCCGGAGTGGAGGATATTTGCGGCTACTCGATTTCCTATAATACTGCGATTTTTTCACTAGTAGCTATAAATTTGATCATATGTTGTGCATGTGTATACACACAGTATATGCACACACGCACGCACACGCACAAACACACACACACGCACACACACACATACACATACACATAGACACACGCACACGCGCGTGCGCACATACATAACGCATACTATATGTATTTGTGTGTCTAAATTACTTTTTTAAAACATTCAGTGAGTTAACGCAATATTACTCGATTCCAGACCTGCAGTTCGAGGCGCACCTGCGCCACGTGACGCAGACCGGCGAGGACGCCCTGCGCAAACAGGTGTCCGAGCTGAAGAAGGTGCTGGAGGAGCGGACGGGCCGCGTCTCGCAGCTGGAGGGGCAGCTGGCGGAGCAGCAGAAGCTCCTGGCTGACGAGCAGGAGCAGCACCGGTGGCGCGAGGTGCAGCTGAAACAGCAGGTGGAGGCTGGCGAGCAGCGGGTGGCTGAGCTGCGCGGCGAGGTGGCCAAGCTGCGGGCGCAGGTTCGGGATCTGCGCGTGTACAGCTCCGCCCTGCGCACGGTGGGCGGCCGCGGCCCGTCCACCGCCCGCGCCTCCTCCAGGACCAGCACCAGCGCCCGCCCGCTCTCCCGGAGCTCGCGGGCGTCCGTGGGCTCGCTGGACTCGCTCGAGTCGTCGGGGCCGCGCAGCCTGGGCTCGGAGGACGGCGAGGCAGGCTCGTGGCGCGGCGCGCGGCTCGGTGGCGGCGCCGGCCACGTCTCCGCCAGGCACGCGCGCCCTGAGAAGGCGCCGCTCAGCCCTGGCACGCGCAACACCTTCTCGCTGCCGCCCACGCTGCCGGTCACGCCGCCCTCGCTGCCGCCCCTCGCCTCCCTGCCGTCGCCGCGCCCGTCCTCCTCGAACATCGTCCTGCCGCCCATCTCTGCCAGCCAGGGGGTGTCCCGCCCGCACGTCCGGCGGCAGCTGCGCCTGGCCTCCGCGCCCATCCTCGACATCGAGCGCAGCGACCCCCCTCCGCAGCGCGACCCCGCATGACCCCTCATGGCCTCGGCTCCGCGGCAGAGAGCGCCCCTCCGCAGTGCCCCCCCGCATGCTGCCGGGGTCGGCGTTGCCAGGTCCTCCAGGAGGGCGTCAGGGGCGTGGGGCAGCCGAGCGGCTTCCAGCTCCTCCAGGGACCAGAAACCATAGAGAGCGGCGCAATGGGGCTCCTGCGGCAGGTCACCGGGACTGGCGTTTACGTCTGCCGGATTTCACAAAGGTCATGCTGGGAGACTGAGGGCCTCTGGTGGCCTGCTGTGCACGAGACTCGAGTGCAGCCCAAACTTGTTCAGTCGTGAGTGTGTGGCATTTGCTGCAGAGATATGCAATGAAATATAATGGAAAAAAGAAAAGGTGATCAATATAAAATACAGTTACGAAACATCTAATAGTTAAAACCTGCATGAAGGATGACTGAGATTTGGCGTTCCTTTGTAAAAGTGACTCAACACGGTGTGTATATATGAATTGACCTTGACTGACCTGTGATACCATTGCGATTCGAAAAGACAACGAAGAGGTCGTGATTATAATGACATAACCTGAGAGAGAAAATAAATATTGGGAGAGCTCGTTCCATTTGGTTCTGCTTATGGTATACATATCATGTAATTTTAAACACTCCTTGTATCTGTTAGAAAAGGAGTGAGATTTCTTAGTTTTCTGTTTTGATTATTTTCACAATAAAGATCTTTTTAGTACTGCACTTCTTTTGAAATGATTTCACATATTTTTAATAAAGAGTGAGTCGCTTGTACTCGGCTGTATCCCTTAGCATGAGCAAAGACATTTCCTTATAGTTTTTTGCAACTGTCATTTTAAATTATTAATAAACCACACACACACACACACACACACACACACACACACACACACACACACACACACACACACACACACACACACACACACACACACACACACACGCACGCACGCATGCACGCGCTCACATTTTTTTTCTTTTCTTTTTTTGAGTTTGATTAGATTCATGATTTTGAATGAAGGATATGAATACCATTTGGCATTAAATGGATCTCCAATGGAACTGAAGAAAAAATACTGTATTTGTAGTGCTATCAAATGAAATATAAAATGCCTTCGTAGCCCCCAATGGGAAACGAGTATATATAGATATATATTCCAAAAATACAATGAAGATTTTTTCATGTTCAATGAAAAATCTATCATTGCAATTTTCTTTTTTTTTATGTGCGTGGAGGCAAAATTATGAAAAAAAAGAGAAGAAAAGAAAATGAGAAAAAAAATATTTACGCCAGTCCACCCTAGGTACAAACGCATAACCAGGTTCCGTTAAAAAAGAAAAAGAAAAAAACTAAAAGAAAACGAAGCAACGGAAGTTTAGGCCTGCACCTTATATACAGTATATATTTTTTAAGATATCCCTTTTTTGAATTCAATAGATATTTCCCATTTTCTGACATTCGGATAACTCCTCCACAGTGTTATATGAAGCGATGTATTGTGTATATACCTTTTTTTCTAAGCCAGACGTCAGTTACCGTGACAGCCAATGTGTGTAATGAGTATAAAGTTCATATTCATCTGCGGTAACTTGAACTTTCATGTTTGAACAATATTGAACTTTGAATTTAGAAATAGCGATACCTCATATTGTATCTTTCATTATTTTCCTGGTTATTGTTTTTTCATTGTCATTACAAATCAAATTATCATATGGCGCATTATTATTATTGTTACATTTAGCATTTATACTACTGCTCTTCTTGTTATTTATTTTTCTATTGTTAATGTCATTATTAATTATTTCGTTATTGATAGTATTATTATCACTTAGTTGTTGCTGTTATTATTATTATTATTATTATCAATATTTCATTATTATTCATTTTTTAAAATATTATGGTGACTGTTGTTAAAATTATGATTAGCAACATTATTGTTAGTGTTATTTTTATTCATCATTATTATTACTGCAATCATCATTATTATAAGTTAAGAGAAGATATGTATCCATCATTAATCTGGCACATCATGATAATGATGCCGATAATTTTGTTTATATATATATATACTATTGCCTTATACTGATGCCGTTCTTGCCCCATAGAAAATACTGTGCAAATTACAGTTTTGTATTATATCATCCCTGATTTTTAGAAATTCTTTCCTTCTGATATTGATCTAAAACGCCTTTTGAATTTGTAAAGCTACAGTATTTTTTGTATGACTGAATTATTGTATTATTGAAACCCCACTGTTATCAGGATTAATTGTAGTATAATACCAGTTTCTCAATACATTATTTTATATATGTCCAATTCCATGTTATGAATTAGAACACTTTGTAAAGAAAAAAATGAAGTATATATATGGTCATATTTTGAACTATGGAGTACTGTATTTAAACTGATTTGAATGTATTCCACCTTTTTTCTAGCTAGTCGCATTTTCATAATTTTCCTTTTTATTTTCCCAAATTTGTTTTAATAAACATATTAACTTTTGCTTTTTACGTTTGTCCTTTCCTCTACCGTAAAAAAAAATGTGTAACATAAAACAATGAAATTGCTGAAGTGAAGTAAAAAAAAGAATTTGTCAACGGTACGTTTTATTTTCTTAGATGAAGTACCTATGATTTTTATAGTACTGTATAATTAGTGCCTTTCTTTCCCCGGTATTGACTAAAAAGATACTTACTTTCCCCGATTTTCACTGGAGGGGTATTTTCTCCCTGAATTTGAAAGAGGATATATTTATCTTCTGATCTGAACTGAAGGGGCATTTGTTTTCCCTGATTTCGAGTGAGAGGACGGCCAAAGACAAAGAAAACGGACACGGGATAAAATACTCTGGTGCGAGTCTCTTCAGTTTTAATATATCGTGTAAGTTGTAAAACGCGATAGTATGAAGACCGAAGGTTTGAAAACAAACAAATGTTATAGTTCGTCACAATTATTTATGTTTTATTGTTGTTTTTGAATTGCATCACCCAGTCCTTTTACTCGAAATATCCTGAAAGTTGGTGAGATTAAATTCTGCACTGGCCGATTTTGGAGTCAGTCTTATTCTGTTTGAAGAGAAATATTTTGTATTAAAACACTTAAATATAACACTTAAATATAACTTAAATATATATATATATATATATATATATATATATATATATATATATATATATATGTATATATATATATATATATATATATATATATATATATATATATATATATATATACATATGTTATGCATTTATATATAAATGTATGTATACATGTGTATATCTATAGATATATCTATTTATCTCTCTCTATATTTATATATATATATATATATGAAATATACATATGTGTATATATACATGCACACACACACACACACACACACACACACACACACACACACACACACACACACACACACACACACACACACACACACACACACACACACATATATATATATATATATGTGTGTGTGTGTGTGTGTGTGTGTGTGTGTAAAAGGTCTCTAACTGAACATTTATTTGCAGTAATACAATATAGAAAGTGTTTATTGTTTCATATAGATTAATATATAATGAGTAAAATAATTAAACATTGAAAGGCTTGGAATAGAAAACCCTTCACTGTACTTGTTGAACTCCATCTTTTGACGATAGTCTGTTTATATCACACAAAACACATAAGAGTTGTTTACCTCATGGTTCTCAGGTCCCCAGCTGTTTTTCTCTTCATAGCCACCCTGTCAGCTTCTATCCTGTAGGATTCAGACGGTGCAATCCAGTCACTTGTCCCAGCGGAATATTTGCTGCAAAAAATATTTATTATGAGACATAAGGCGATATATAATATTATCTATGTAGGTGAATAGCAGAATATTTTTTCCAAGAACGTGCCTATTACATTTGGAATACTTGTATTGTATTTGCAACATGTCTCGAATTGGTTTTTGAGACTCATAAGCAGAATGTACATATAATGCTGTAAAGTTCAGAGGTTGATTGTATTCCTCTTAGATATTTCTTAATTCATATATAACCAAGGCCATGGAATGAATCAGCCACAATAATAAGGTAAACACGATTCAGTATCTCCATTCGTTCAAACATAAATTTAGGTAATATTTGTTTCCTTGCCAGACCTCTGACAAAAGACACCAAACATTTAGAATATATTAAAAGGACCATATATTTCAACTAGACACACCCTTTACCTAAGCCTATCATTACTCATGACACAAACACAATAAAGTTTACACACCAATAAAAGTAAACAATCACACTAGAACCGCAATAAAAAAGAATTTCGACCTCGTCAGGAGTTCCTCATCACCCAAAATGGATCCATTTGAATTGTTTTGCCACGTCCGACGAGGAACGCTTAAAGTGTTTGAAGTGTCATGCTTTTTTATCCCCTAACTATCGTGGCAGTGTTTAGTTTTCTCTTGACTCATATTTAGCTCACGAGCCCAACTCACACGTCCTACTTACCAGTACTTGGACAAGGGGCAGCCGACAATGTACAGAACGTGGGACTCCTTTTCACAACCGAGACTCCGAGCCTTTGCCGTTTCAAGGGTGGCATTGACGGGGTCCTGGGCTGCTAGATCCTGAGACTGGGCTTGAGTTCGGTCGTGGGCGTAGGCGTGGGAGAATGGGCGCACTCGAAACGTTAACACGCCCTCGTAAATTTCCTTCACTTCTTGTTCGTCTGTTCCTAGGCACTGAAGGATGAGGCAGAGATTCAGCAGAAGGAAAAGGAAGAAGGGAAGGAAGAGAGGATGGGTTGAGGGAGAGGAGGAGGAAGAGAAGAAGAAGAAGGAGGAGGTGGAGGAGGAGGGAAGAAGGGATGGAGAGAGGAAGAGGAAGAGGAGAAGGAAAGAGGGGATGGGTGGAGGAAGAGGAGGAGGAGGAGGAGGAGAGGGAGAAGATGAAGAGGAGGAGGAGAAGAGGAAGAAGAAGAAGAGGAGGAGGAGGAGAGGGAGAAGATGAAGAGGAGGAGGAGGAGGAGAGGGAGAAGATGAAGAGGAGGAGGAGGAGAGGGAGAAGATGAAGAGGAGGAGGAGGAGAGGGAGAAGATGAAGAGGAGGAGGAGGAGGAGAGGGAGAAGATGAAGAGGAGGAGGAGGAGAGGGAGAAGATGAAGAGGAGGAGGAGGAGGAGGAGGAGGAGAGGGAGAAGATGAAGAGGAGGAGGAGGAGAGGGAGAAGATGAAGAGGAGGAGGAGGAGAGGGAGAAGATGAAGAGGAGGAGGAGGAGAGGGAGAAGATGAAGAGGAGGAGGAGGAGAGGGAGAAGATGAAGAGGAGGAGGAGGAGAGGGAGAAGATGAAGAGGAGGAGGAGGAGGAGAGGGAGAAGATGAAGAGGAGGAGGAGGAGGAGGAGAGGGAGAAGATGAAGAGGAGGAGGAGGAGAGGGAGAAGATGAAGAGGAGGAGGAGGAGAGGGAGAAGATGAAGAGGAGGAGGAGGAGAGGGAGAAGATGAAGAGGAGGAGGAGGAGAGGGAGAAGATGAAGAGGAGGAGGAGGAGAGGGAGAAGATGAAGAGGAGGAGGAGGAGAGGGAGAAGATGAAGAGGAGGAGGAGGAGAGGGAGAAGATGAAGAGGAGGAGGAGGAGAGGGAGAAGATGAAGAGGAGGAGGAGGAGGAGGAGGAGAGGGAGAAGATGAAGAGGAGGAGGAGGAGGAGAGGGAGAAGATGAAGAGGAGGAGGAGGAGAGGGAGAAGATGAAGAGGAGGAGGAGGAGGAGAGGGAGAAGATGAAGAGGAGGAGGAGGAGGAGGAGAGGGAGAAGATGAAGAGGAGGAGGAGGAGGAGAGGGAGAAGATGAAGAGGAGGAGGAGGAGAGGGAGAAGATGAAGAGGAGGAGGAGGAGGAGGAGAGGGAGAAGATGAAGAGGAGGAGGAGGAGGAGAGGGAGAAGATGAAGAGGAGGAGGAGGAGGAGGAGAGGGAGAAGATGAAGAGGAGGAGGAGGAGGAGGAGAGGGAGAAGATGAAGAGGAGGAGGAGGAGGAGGAGGAGAGGGAGAAGATGAAGAGGAGGAGGAGGAGAGGGAGAAGATGAAGAGGAGGAGGAGGAGAGGGAGAAGATGAAGAGGAGGAGGAGGAGAGGGAGAAGATGAAGAGGAGGAGGAGGAGAGGGAGAAGATGAAGAGGAGGAGGAGGAGGAGGAGGAGGAGGAGGAGGAGGAGGAGGAGAGGGAGAAGATGAAGAGGAGGAGGAGGAGAGGGAGAAGATGAAGAGGAGGAGGAGGAGGAGGAGGAGGAGGAGGAGGAGGAGAGGGAGAAGATGAAGAGGAGGAGGAGGAGAGGGAGAAGATGAAGAGGAGGAGGAGGAGAGGGAGAAGATGAAGAGGAGGAGGAGGAGGAGGAGAGGGAGAAGATGAAGAGGAGGAGGAGGAGAGGGAGAAGATGAAGAGGAGGAGGAGGAGAGGGAGAAGATGAAGAGGAGGAGGAGGAGAGGGAGAAGATGAAGAGGAGGAGGAGGAGGAGGAGAGGGAGAAGATGAAGAGGAGGAGGAGGAGGAGGAGGAGAGGGAGAAGATGAAGAGGAGGAGGAGGAGGAGGAGGAGGAGGAGAGGGAGAAGATGAAGAGGAGGAGGAGGAGAGGGAGAAGATGAAGAGGAGGAGGAGGAGGAGGAGGAGGAGGAGGAGGAGGAGGAGGAGAGGGAGAAGATGAAGAGGAGGAGGAGGAGAGGGAGAAGATGAAGAGGAGGAGGAGGAGGAGGAGAGGGAGAAGATGAAGAGGAGGAGGAGGAGGAGAGGGAGAAGATGAAGAGGAGGAGGAGGAGGAGAGGGAGAAGATGAAGAGGAGGAGGAGGAGGAGGAGGAGAGGGAGAAGATGAAGAGGAGGAGGAGGAGGAGGAGGAGGAGGAGGAGGAGGAGAGGGAGAAGATGAAGAGGAGGAGGAGGAGGAGGAGGAGGAGAGGGAGAAGATGAAGAGGAGGAGGAGGAGAGGGAGAAGATGAAGAGGAGGAGGAGGAGAGGGAGAAGATGAAGAGGAGGAGGTCTCTCATCTCTCTCTCTCTCTCTCCTCTCTCTCTCTCTCCTCTCTCTCTCTCTCCTCTCTCTCTCTCTCCTCTCTCTCTCTCTCCTCTCTCTCTCTCTCTCTCCTCTCTCTCTCTCTCTCTCTCTCTCTCTCCTCTCTCTCTCTCTCCTCTCTCTCTCTCTCTCCTCTCTCTCTCTCTCTCCTCTCTCTCTCTCTCTCTCTCTCTCTCTCTCCTCTCTCTCTCTCTCCTCTCTCTCTCTCTCCTCTCTCTCTCTCTCTCTCTCTCCTCTCTCTCTCTCTCTCCTCTCTCTCTCTCTCTCTCCTCTCTCTCTCTCTCTCTCTCTCTCTCTCTCTCCTCTCTCTCTCTCTCTCCTCTCTCTCTCTCTCTCTCTCTCTCTCTCCTCTCTCTCTCTCTCTCCTCTCTCTCTCTCTCTCCTCTCTCTCTCTCTCTCTCCTCTCTCTCTCTCTCTCTCCTCTCTCTCTCTCTCCTCTCTCTCTCTCTCCTCTCTCTCTCTCTCTCCTCTCTCTCTCTCTCCTCTCTCTCTCTCTCCTCTCTCTCTCTCTCTCCTCTCTCTCTCTCTCCTCTCTCTCTCTCTCCTCTCTCTCTCTCTCTCCTCTCTCTCTCTCTCTCTCTCTCTCCTCTCTCTCTCTCTCTCTCTCTCCTCTCTCTCTCTCTCCTCTCTCTCTCTCTCTCTCTCTCTCTCCTCTCTCTCTCTCTCCTCTCTCTCTCTCTCCTCTCTCTCTCTCTCCTCTCTCTCTCTCTCTCCTCTCTCTCTCTCTCTCTCCTCTCTCTCTCTCTCTCCTCTCTCTCTCTCTCTCTCCTCTCTCTCTCTCTCCTCTCTCTCTCTCTCTCTCTCTCCTCTCTCTCTCTCTCTCTCCTCTCTCTCTCTCTCTCTCTCTCTCCTCTCTCTCTCTCTCCTCTCTCTCTCTCTCTCTCTCTCTCTCTCTCCTCTCTCTCTCTCTCTCCTCTCTCTCTCTCTCCTCTCTCTCTCTCTCTCTCCTCTCTCTCTCTCTCTCCTCTCTCTCTCTCTCTCCTCTCTCTCTCTCTCCTCTCTCTCTCTCTCTCTCTCTCCTCTCTCTCTCTCTCCTCTCTCTCTCTCTCTCCTCTCTCTCTCTCTCTCTCTCCTCTCTCTCTCTCTCTCTCTCTCCTCTCTCTCTCTCTCCTCTCTCTCTCTCTCTCTCTCTCCTCTCTCTCTCTCTCCTCTCTCTCTCTCTCCTCTCTCTCTCTCTCCTCTCTCTCTCTCTCTCTCTCTCCTCTCTCTCTCTCTCTCTCCTCTCTCTCTCTCTCTCTCTCTCTCTCTCTCTCTCTCTCTCTCTCTCCTCTCTCTCTCTCTCTCTCCTCTCTCTCTCTCTCTCTCTCTCTCCTCTCTCTCTCTCTCCTCTCTCTCTCTCTCCTCTCTCTCTCTCTCTCTCCTCTCTCTCTCTCTCTCTCCTCTCTCTCTCTCTCTCTCTCTCTCTCTCTCCTCTCTCTCTCTCTCTCCTCTCTCTCTCTCTCCTCTCTCTCTCTCTCCTCTCTCTCTCTCTCTCTCCTCTCTCTCTCTCTCTCTCCTCTCTCTCTCTCTCTCCTCTCTCTCTCTCTCCTCTCTCTCTCTCTCTCCTCTCTCTCTCTCTCCTCTCTCTCTCTCTACTGAACGTAATGGGAGTTGATTCCATCCAATTGATTATAATATAGTTTGCTGAAAAGACGGTAAACTTATTGGATATTGATGAATATCCGTGTCAGAACTCATATTCGGCGTATGGTATGGAGACACGGGGAAAGTAAGGAAGTTGCCAACGTGCATGATTCCATTCAAACTAAGAATTGCATACCTCAAGATGTCTGGAGCGAGAAGAAGGTCATCCTCAAGCAGGATGGCCTTGTCGACATGCGGCCATCGGCTGAACACGCTGTACAGAGCAAATGCTATGTTCATGTTTGTTCTGAAAAGATGAGCAAAATCGAAATGTAATTTACTCTTACTAAAAATTACACCAATCTATTAAAAAGAAAAAAAAGTCATCTTATCCAATTAAGAGAAAAGGGAATATCTAAAACAAAAACACATACCTAAAATAGACCTCTCACCTGGTATTCTCGCCCGGCAAGCCCTGGGGCGTGTGAACAGCCACCTCGACCCCGAAGAGCCTCGCCAGGTGCAGCGTCTCCAGGTGCGGCCCGTCCACCACCACCAGCACGCGCGTCTCCCCGGATCCCGCCACTTCCCCGAGGTTCTTCAAAAGCCTGAGGAAACGCGGAAATGAGGGCTGCTCTTACCCTTACTATGTCCTAGTTTTCTGTA